GGAAATGGGGGATTAATAATCACATAGGGGGAAGAATAAAATCCTAGGCTTGTTTACTTTGATTAAATCTTCGATTTAATTGCTTTCTTGTTTTTGTCTTTTTAATTGCTTTAGTTTAATTTTGTTTATTAATCATTTTTCAACTGTGTAGGGTGGGGCTTGATAATAATTGGTAGAATTTAGCGTTTAGGATTAAATAATTAAATATTTCCTGTGGGTTCGATATCCGGACTTTTAGTCCACTATATTACTTGTACGATACGTGCACTTGCGTGTAGGTTTTCGACCAACAAGTTTTTGGCGCCGTTGCCGGGGATAAAGAATTGGGCTCAAGAGAGAAAGGAGGGAGTGAATGGGGGGGATTTGGGCTCTCATACTTGGGCTTAATAGCCTCATAGGCTAATTGGGCCGGATTTTGGCTTGAGACTTTCGACTTGGTGAATCTAAGCTCATTTGCTATATAATTTGGATACAGGGTAAATTAGCCCAGATCAACAAGTAAGATAAAGAACAATGCTATATCCATCATGTTTGATACTGGCAGCACACATAGATTCCTTGACCCTACAACCACAAGGAAGCTAGGTTGTGAAATGATCTACACCAACAATTTGGTAATTAAAGTGGCCAATGGAAGTCAAATGGATTGTAACTCTTTTTTTTTGATAAATTGTAACTCTAAGTTCTAAGTGTAGTGAGAAATGAGAGGGCACTATTCCATTTTTTAATTAAGGATTCTGAAATTGGGTGTCGTGATATCTTGGGTGGGGAAGAATAATATATTTTCAGTCTAAAATAATTACTTTCAGTCGAAGCTCAATAACTAAACTATGGAGGGACGATTAACAAAATGACGAGGAAATATGATTATCCTAATTTAAAAGAGTATTAGTGCCGAGTGCGAAAAAAGAAAAAAAAACAAACAAACAAACATCGGCAACTACTTTATAACTAAGAAGGGGTTGTCTAGGGTCCGAGAGGGTTGTACTTCTCGGACCGTAAAATATTTAATCTTGTGCGTTCAAAATAATTAAATTTTAATCTCATCCATTGATTTTCTTGTACGATCCAATACAACCTAGTACGACACTAGGGTGTTTGAAATAAAAGTACGAACACAGTAAAAACACATCGTACACCATCGTACACGCATCGTATTTTCTGTAAATTACAAAATTAACCTTATAAACTCAAATCAATAAATTAAAATTAATATATCCATTAAACAAATATTACAATAACCATAATCAATTAACAAAATTATACGCCAAATAAAATCAAAACCTCCCAAATGTTCTTCCCCAAGACCAAAATCTTTCCGATCGAGATTAAGAAGAATATTTTTTGTTTTCGTGACTTCATCTCTCGCCGGGGTGGGCCGAATAAATGAAACGCAATCTACCACTACTCACTTCAGGTGGGAATGGCGGAAAAGTTGTAACCCTATCTACCAACAGGGCAGAATAGTCGCCGGCGCCGCCTTTTGTGGTGGAGGATGGTGTGGCAATATCTGAGGATCTCTGGAGAGCGGCAAGAAACCTGCATCGTAGGATCAAGAGATTACGAAATTGTCACTGATTAATGAACCAAAGGATTTACTTGTGTAAAAAGTATATGATTCTTATTTAGAAAAAGGTGTTTCTTCGGTAGAAAATAGGTATAATCGTCATACGTGATTGAGGGACTGAGTACTTATTCTTGTGGTTGAATGTTGATATTGTTGATCTCATTGTGGCAGGGTATCTGTAAACATTGGACATAATCCATTTCACTTTGATCTTAAAGTAAGTTTTTCTTGTCTTTACACTTTGAAATATCTGACATCCTTAACGTTGTAGTGTCATTGTTTATCTCTCTCTCTCTCTCTCTCTCTCTCTCTCTCTCTCTCTCTCTCTCTCTCTCTCTCTCTCTCTCTCTCTCTCTCTCTCTCTCTCTCTCTCTCTCTCTCTCTCTCTATATATATATATATATATATATATATATATTCCCTCAAGTCATTGAAAATGACATCCTTAATGTTGTAATTTGCTATGCAGTTCAGAAAGAAAAGGCGGAGTACCGGCAGATAGCGTTCCTTATGAAAATGATTCAAATGAAGGCTTGTTGGCATGATAAAGAAGAGCTTATTGTCATTCAAGATGAGATCGCACAGTGATAGTGTTCATTGAGATATTGGAATGTCTCATTGAAATTACATCTTTGTTCCAAGTAAAGTCGTTAATGTTGCCTTTCAGCTATGACTTATCAACCTAAATTTATTAATTTTAGTATGTACTCGAGTTTGTAGCACTGTATCAGTCAGTTGTAACTGTATCAGTCAGTTGTAACTATGTACATACGAATATTCTATTATCGTGACGCCCATTTGGATCTAATGCTTCATTTTTGGAAAATCATGTTTTGCCTTCGAACATGATAGTACTGAAAAATGGATTTCAAATGCCATAAATTTAAGTTTATTGTCTGTTTTTTATTCGATATTTCAGATCAGAATCTATCTTCCATTGCAGCTTGATGATATATCTGGATTTAAACTGGAACATAGAAGACTAAATGAAATTAATACTGTATATTTTTTACGCGTAACAGTTGGAGGGAGGAAGAGGCAGAGTTGGATGACGCATTGTGAGATATTACAGTGAAAATTCAAATTTAGCTAAGATTTAAGAGCATATACCTTATTAGAGAACATGCTTGTTTTTTTTATTAGCTTTGTAACATGGTTGAAGGTTTGAGACTTTGTTATTCTCGTAGATGAAGAAATGTATGGATTTAACTACTCTGTTCAATTCTAAAAGCTCTGATTTTACTGAAGGCTCGTCGTGGTTTATTAATCATAATAGATATGTATTGTAGTTAAAAGGATCGAATGTTCATAAATATGTGTACGCCTATTATTTGATTTGCAAATATGTGTAAGATGTCATATAAGATTTATGGATATTCTTATGAAACACTATCAAATTTAGTCTACTAATACTAGATAATATACCAATGCAGCACACCCTGCTCCAGCTTAGATATTCTGCTGATTGAAGCTGATTTAGCTTCTTCACAATGAGCTTTAATATCAGAAAAAATCATCGGATTGTCCTATATATCGAGATTTTTTCTCCAACTCTATAGCACAAGAATATTGCTCTAACCGGGCCAATTGAAAGAAGTTGTCACTTTTTATCATATCAACGTATTCCAAGTCTTTTCGAGGAAGGAGACTCGTCAAATTTGGCATAACCTTCTTGAACATGAGTGTTCTGAACATGGACTGTGGAAATATTATGTAAGTTACATAACATAATATAAATAATTGATACATTAATAGTAAATAATTGCATTCACATTCACATTCACATTCACATTCTATAAACAAAGCATAAAAAATATGTATCTTGAAATTTTAAAATGCAAGAGAAAGATTTAATATAGTTAAAAATAAAAAATAAAAAATAAAAAATAAACAAAAACTTTACTTTAACTTCACACTTGGCATTATTTTGCCACAACTAAAATTATGCGAGTACCATAGGTTATGAATTCTGCAATAGAATTCAGAGCCTCAATCACAGTACCTGGGCGGGGCTAGAAATCAAGTATTGTAATACAAAATTACGATACTTACACTTACACGCCGCGCCTCGACTCGGTAGATCATGTATGAAGGGTAAGGGTTCCCAGGATAATTTTGCCAGAAAAAATAAATAGTGGGACGAATTCCAGGAGAACAAAGCCAAGGGTTTAAACGAAGAAGAAGAATAAAGATTAGATCGAAGGAAGGATTATTGTTCTTTTTTCATGTATCTAGATATAATATTTCCGTTTGATGAATATTAAAAGACTGATGATGGTGATGATAATTTTTTTCAGAAGATCGACGATGATGAATAGAAAAAATAATTAGGGAAGATTAGGATTTAAAGTTCAGGAAGAATAAACGTAATATGATTTTAATTTTTTTAATCTGTAATTAAATTTTAAATTATTGATTTTCTAATTAAAATTTTAAGTTTAATTAAAAGGGTTTTTATGTAATTTTACGTGTATCCTAGGGGTCGTACTTTTTTTTACTAGGTACGTACTAATCCTACGTGGCACATTCTTATTGGTTGATTACGGTCCGAGAAGTACAACCCTCTCGGACCGTAGACAATCCCAACTAAGAATCCGGTAAAAGTTAGAAGCATTTGATTCCTCTTCTTCCGCTTGCTTGCTTTCTTGATGTCCTATATTCGAGGCACGTGGAGAAATAAATTTGCAATATTTAAAGAAAACCATATGCTAGTGTTTTATTATAAGATCCACACACACATGACACATCAATCTACTCTACAGCTACTAATAATTAAAAAACATTAGTGAATCACAAATTTAAAAGAAAAAAAATAAAAACAAGTTCTTGTAACTTGTGAGTTGTAAAATCTCATTTATTTAATTTTGAGTAAAAATAATAATTGCATAACGCCGAACATCACGTGACTTTTCACATACCAACTGTTCCAAGTTCCAAGTTCCAACCAATAAATAATAATGGAGTATTATTATTATTAGGGTGAAATACATTTTACACCCATAATGCACCCTCTATATAACACTTACTGTTAAAATATCATTTGTAACATGTATCCTCTTAAGTTTAATTCAATTTGTATTTTAAATTCTAATACCTTAAAATTTTCTGTTTTTATTTAAAATAATAATTGAAAAAATAATTAAAGTATACAACTAAAAATATTTGTTAAAAAAATATAATAATATTATGTTGTACTATTGGATATATATTTAACAAATAACATCTAATTCTTATTGGACCAATTAATCAATATTCATATCAAATGTACTTTGTTGTTAAGGGGTAATTGTTACAAACGATACTTTAAGCGGATAAGTGTTAAGTACACTATATTTAGCCCTTATTATTTTTATTATTATTTTTTTGAGTAACTTATTATTATTATTATTATTATGCCTATTAGTTTGTGCACCGCTCCACCGTTAACTAATCAATATTAAATTAGTCTCATTTCCCTCGTGCTTCTCATTGAATGGACTTTATATTTCTGTATCTATCCGTGCAAATAGAGATAAAAGATAGATACACACATTTAATATGTATACATATACTCATCTTTTGTAGTGTTTATAGTTCCATTAAATATCCATCTCTCCAAAAAAAAAAAAAAAGAAAAAAAAAAAAGTCCCATGGCTAAATCAGTTGATTATTTGGCCATGGAAAATGGATCATACATTCCTCCTCGCCCTAAACACCCTAATTTTCAGCGCACAAGAAGCTTTCGCGGTTCGTTTAATCATCCTCACTAATTAATTACTGTTATGCATGTATATATATATATATATATATATATATATATTGTAAGTATATGTGGTGGTGATGATATGTTTTTTATTTTATTTTTGTTATGACAGAAATTCAAGGAATTATATCGAAGATGAACCCAGAGGTAGTAAAGAGTGTGATTCAAAATGGGTCTTCTTCTACAAACAACAAATCATTCGTTTCTGACTTCCCTCTTTGTGATTACACACTTAGGTAAATTAATAAACATAAATTTATTATAATATTTCTTGAATATTTTTTGTTACGTTGTATTTATTTGAAATTAATTTTAGTGTGTGTTTTTGTTTGTGACTGACTGTGTGTAGGCTGAGTTGTGGTGGGGATGAAAAGAATGGTGTAAAATATAGTACTTCTCCCCTCACCATTTTCTACAATGGAACTGTTTCTGTTTTTCATGTCTCCCCTCAAAAGGTTTTTCTTTTTCATTTTATTTTATTATTTTTTTTATGTATATATATAAAATAAAATAATAATATTTATATGTTGTAAAATGTTTAATGAATGAATGAATGATGCAGGCTGAGGATATTCTGAAATTTGGTGAGCAAGCAATTCATAATTCGGAAATCAATTCGCATGGCCAACAATATCAATATCTCACCCAATCTCTCAACGGTACTTCTTAAATTATTTTATTTTTCGAGGTTTAATTTTATTTTTGCTATTTATTTATTTATTATTATTTTGTTTTATGACGCATGCAGATTTACCCATTACTAGGAGAATATCTCTGCAGAGGTTTCTGGAGAAGCGGAGAGAAAGGTTGGTGTTTGTTTCTTCTTTTTAATGTAATTTCCATGCTTATTTTTTTTAGATTTTCTTTCTAATTATTTTCTTTAATTTTATTTTGTAAATTGGTCAAAACTTTGAATATAATTTTCTATAAACATTACTACATTATGATAGCAATTATCCACGTGTATAGAGATTGCTGTTGATTGAGTTCAATATATATATTATATATATAAACTCTACGTAAGCCGAGATGCCTCTACCTTTTTTCTCATTTTTAAATAATTAAAATAGTACTAAATTTAAATCACATGAGTAAACAATGTGAGAATCCTCAGGCTGGCTGCTAATAAACATGATTTGACTCAAAAAAAAAAATTGTCTTCGTAAAATATTTTTAAAAATTTTATCCAAAAATATTCAAATGTTACTCTTTAATCATAAGAAAAATAATTCGACTTGTACAGTAAAAAATGTATTTACTAAGATACAAACTAAATTCACTTTTATCTTTCAAATTTTCCTTACAAAATACGTTTTCTCAACATCTTTTCAGATATGATATGAGTGGTTATATTACAAATTGTCTCTTCTTAAAACACAAACAAACAAATAATATTTTATTTTCATTTTTTTCTCTTAAAACATTTTTTTCCAAAATAAAATGGATAAAAGCTTACGCCAAATTAATATTAGAAAAAAGTTTGACCCTGACCTCTTTTTCCTATAATCTTTTATTTTCTTTTCTTATTTATTTTTTGGAAATCCAATTTGTGTATTTATGATTATTAGTAATTTATTGTAGAAGGGCAGTTTAAAATATAAAAATATTGAATTGATTTATTGCAGGCTGATTATGTTGTCCCCTTATTACTTTCCCACCAACAATTCCAATTTCAATTCCTCACGCAAAAGATAGCAGAAGAAAAGTCACGTGTTATTATCTTCAACCGATAAAATCGCAGGTGGAAAGAATCAATGGTGGTTGAGATTTTGCAAAAAATATAAAAGCACGTTTTCTTAATTGTTCTGTTTGGGTCAAAGCTGTGAGTGATGTCTGGTGCAGTTTCACATTTTAGTCATGTGCATAGTGAGGGGGGATCTTATCACTATAATTTTTTTATTCTATGTGGTAATATATAGTATTTTTTTAATTAATTGTATCTTGATTCTTGACTTATTTGTTTATGCTTTTTGTTTATGTATTAGACACAGCCGCGGGGCGGGTTCGAGTTGACGGGGTCTAAAAAAGGATAAACAATTTAATTTCAAATTATTAACAGTTTATGTTACGTGGTAATTTGAGCAAATAAACACAATTTAAGCAATAATTAAGAGGTAGAAATTATGAGAAGAATTAGAGAAGGCAGAATAAGAATCGAGAAGATAAAAAATAGGGATAATTAGTGAAATCCTAAAAATCATTTACTTATACTAAGGTGGATATAGCTTTGTTTTCATTATTAGTGAGACCCTCTATTTATTAAAAAAAAAATTAAAATTGGAGTTGACATGACTAATATATCCGTAAATAATTAAAATCTCTTTTAATTTGTAATATCTAAAATAAAACCATATTTCACGTTCTTCTCTTTCTCTTCTCTTTTTCTCTCTACAGCCGTCACCTCCATCTCCTTCCACCTATGTGCCGCCACCGCCGCCCCCACCTCTTACACAGCGTCGGCCTAAGACTTTGACATCGTCGTTCTCCTCCACAACTAGCTCCTACAACACTGCCGCCGCCCTCGTCGCCGCTCCTCCACAATCGCCTTGAATATTCCAACACGAAAATCAAACAATGTCGATGGGAAGCACGGTTACAAGTGCATATTTCGGATCTCGTCATTCCGACAAACCCGACGATGCAAAACGTTTCGCGACCAAGTTCAGATCTGGTGCCGTTCAATTCAAGCAAAAAGTTTATATTTTTTTCTTGTTTATTGTAATTTTCTTTATATCATTTTTACTATGAAGTTTTTCAATTTTGTTTATACTTGTTTCCGTTACTTTGTAGTTGATTTCGGGTTTTGCTATTTTATTTTTTTTGTAATTATTGACGAGAACTTTACAGTAGTTTTCGATAGTTTTATAATTGTTTTCGATATTTTGTGTTGATTTACACAATTTATAGTTGTTTACCATTTCTTTTATAGCTGATTTCGTTCATTTGTAGTTGTTTTTTTATTTTTTGTAAATTTGTTATTTGTAAATCATTGTGTTTTATATAGTTTTTTTACAATTTTCTAATAGTTGATTATGGCGAACAAAATGAACAGTTGAAAAAAATAGTTATTTTCTAATATTTGTTTTACAATTATAGTTGGTTTTTATTAAAAAAAAAATGGCAAAAAAATAGTTGGTTTCTCGAAAAAATGCCAAAAATAATTGAAAATTAAAATTAAGAAAAATAAAATAATAAAATCGAAATTATAGTTGATTTCGAAAATATTATAGTTGGTTTCAGAATCTTTATAGTTGATTCCAAACAAAAAAAATGGAAATTAAAAATAAAATAAAATATTTTTAAATAAAAAAATAAAAGAGAAAAATATTTTTTAAAGCTATTATTGTTAGTTTTTTAAATCAAATAATAAAAAAAACAAAAATTTAAATTTATTGAAATTATATATAAAAGAAATTAGAGTTTGCAGATGGAATTTTATGGAAATATAATTTTTTAAATAAAAACTTAAAAGAAAAATATTTTTTTAAAGCTATTATTGTTAGTTTTTTAAATAAAATAATAAAAAAACGAAAATTAAAGTTTATTTAAATTATATATAAAAAAGATTAAAGTTTGCGGATGGGAGTTTTTGGAAAGATTAGGTAAGCGGTTTTTTTGGGATCTAATCAATCACACACGATTGTAGGGATCTCAAATTTTCGGATTTTGTGTGTGTGTCTTCCAGAAGGCTATATTCGGGAATCATTAAAATAGTGGGTTTTCTACTAATATTGAAAATATGGCTGGATCCCCCTTTATTAAAGAAAAAAAAAGGAAAATGTGGGATACCCCCTAGTTTTGAAAATATACAGGGACAGGTCCTATCGATTTTTCTTCCCAAGTCAAAAACCCAAATTTTAATCTTAATTTGATAGACCCCCAGACAAATTTAAAATACTCGTTTTACACTTTTAGTTACAATTTAAAACCCTAACCCCCTAACATTTTCTCCCACTCCCTCCCACATTTTTTGCCGTCATTTCCCCTCCCCCACTCTCTCTCTCTTCTCTTTTTTTTTTCTCTCTCTTCATCTCTCTCTAACTCTCTCTCTCTTCTCTTTCTTTCTCTCTCTCTAACTCTCTTTCTCTGTGGCTGCCCACAGCCCTCCGCCGTCGCGGTAGCTCCCCGACCTCCTTGCGCCGCCGCCGCCGCTGCTCCCCTCACCTCCTTGCGCTGCCACCGTCGCTGCTCCACCACCGCATTACGCCGTTGCTCCGCCGCCGCCTTGCGCCGCTGCTCCGCCACCGCCTTGCGCCGGCCATCGTTGCTCCTCCCACCGCCTTGAACTCCGTATTAAACCATCCACTTCACCTTTTTAAGTTATTTTTTTAATTTATGAATGTCCATCCATTTTTTATTTATTCTTTTAAGCTCTAAATGCTTACTATTTCACCTTTTTTAATTTTTTTTTTTTATGAAAACCAACTGAATTCGAAAATTTCAAATCGTGATTTGACAATTTGTAGTCAGATCTAATGGTGAATTTTAGATCTGGAACCGGTGGAGTTTGATTTGTATATATTTACTGCATTTATCAAAAAAATCCAGAGCTACTATGTTTTTGAATTAATTTAAATTTTTTGGATTAATTTAATTTTTTGGATTAATTTATCAAAAAAAATCCATATCTACTATGTTTTTGAATTAATTTAATTTAATTTTTTTGGATTAAAGTACTTTTTTTATTATAAATATATGTAAATTCTTTTTTGTATTTATTTGAAGATGATTCGAAATGCCTCAAGTGTGAGAGCTTTGTTTGTCTGTAGTAGAAATTTAATCAGTAGTGGTTACTTAGTCATATACAGACATATGTAGTCATGTATAGTCATGGCTACATATAACTATACATGACTATAGGCCTTGTACATATACAGTCATATGTAGTCATGTATAGTCATGGCTACATATAACTAACTATACATGACTATAGGACTTGTAGTATACTATAGTTATTTGTAGTCGATTTCAGTTCAGCAAATTTATCAACAAAAAAAAATCATTTTCTTTTGTATTTTTCATGTAATCTAATTCGCATGTTCCATTTTGCTATTTAACTCGTATTTTTTTGTCACAGATTTTGCTTTTATTATAATTTTATGACATGCAGAGAATAAGATGCGATGAAGTGCCTAGTGAAGTTGGATTCATGCTAGACTTTATGTCACTATATATAACTATAGATAATTGTAGATAACTATAGTCACATGTAGTAACATACATTATATGTATGCTATAGGTTTTTTAATGTACAATAATACTTGTTCATGTTTGAAGAATATATGCATGTGATTGTATTTTTTTCATTTTTTGTTTGTTAGTTGATTTATAATATCAAGATCTAAATTGTGAATTTTATTTGTTGGTGTAGATGAATTTTGGGGTAAAAAGACAGTACATGACTACATATAACTATATATGACTTTTCAACTTGTAGTACATTGTAGTCATGTATAGTATACTTTCATTTCAGTAATATTACCAAAATTTGAATTTATAAAAATAAAATTAAAAACTAAAAAAATTAAAAAAAAATTAAAAAAAAAATTAAAAAAAAATAAAAAAAAATCGAAATATTAAAAAAATATTTTATAAAAAAGTACAATAATAAAAAAAATGTAGAATATATATGTAACACCCCGCATTTTCGGTAAAATAATATTATTTTATTTTACCACCTTTATGTGCATATTTGTGAAATTAGAATTTATAATAATTCTTGCATGATTAGTATTTACGTAAATTAGGTGATTATATGGAATATATGATTATGTGAATTATTGTATGAATTATGTGATTATGTGAATTATGTGATTATATGGAATAATATATGATTATGTGAATTATTGTATGAATTATGTGATTATGTGAATTATGTGATTATGTGAAATATATGATTATGTGAATTATGTGATTAAGTGAATTATGTGCTTAGGAAATATTTTGAGATATTATTTCTCGAATTATTTTTCATGAATGAGGATTTTATTCTTGCATATGAATTTAAGTGAGCATTTTATCATATTTATGCATGCACAAAATTTTAGAAAATAAATTTTCTCATGTATTTGAGGATTTTTAATTAGCGTAGAAAATTGGAAAATCATCCCCTCATTTTTTTCAAATTTTTCGGACATCACACACACACACACACACATGATTTAAAAATTTGCATATTAATTAAAGAAGACATGCATTAGTGTGGTTGTACTTTAAGCATAGAATAAAATACCCAAGCCTAGTCCCCTACTCTCTAGCTTGGCATGCTTTTTCACTCCCACACTCAACTTTAAGTAGACCAAAGGTCTTTCTTCTTCTCTCTTCATTCTTCATTTCGGCAGTCACACCCCCACCGCCATAGCTTGAACCACCTTCTCAAGCTTGAACCACCCAAGAATCACCACCACTCCCATTTTCGAAAATTGCAAAATCACCCCCACAAAAAAATGTATTTCCCTTCCTTCTCAATTGGCTTTGAACTCTCCAAAAACTCTATAAATACCTCCAATGTCCAAGATCAAAATGCACTCTCAAACTCCACTCTTACTATCTATAAGTTCAAAGTCTCCTTCTATTTCAATAGAAGAAGAATTTTCGGCCAAGGCTAAGTAAGCTTCTTCTTCCTCTTTTTTTTTTTTCTTTTTTTCGAAAAAGAGCTAAGCTCTTCTTCATCCAAGTTCTTCTTGTTCTTCTTCTTCTTTTCTTAATATATAATCTAAGGGTCTGTTTGATAGGATTGAGCACTGAATGTTGAATATACATCTGAATGTTTAAGAGTTGTGTCTTAATAGTGAATGCTGAACCACTAAGTTCATTTGATAGCTGAATATTAGTAACGGCTGAATAAGGTTATTTTACTATTATAGCCTTGGAGAAATACTAAAATATTTGTTAATTAAATTATGATCAACAAATAATTGTATAAATGTAATTCTTTTTCTTGATTAACTTAATTAGCAAAGTATGTAATGTTGGTGGACATTAAACAAATTTACGTATTAAGTTTCAAG